TCCTTGCAGTTAGCTACCGCCCAGGTTAAGAATGAAAACAGGAAATATGTGTGTGCTACCACCCTTAACCATTACTAAATAATTTTCATCTTGGCTTGCAGATTTATGCAGGTAAGCCCCAAACCAGGCGGTAGGCTCGTTAAATGAACCTGCCTCTCTACATGAGGAAACACATGCTGGCACCATCACCCTTTAGTGTTAACTGTCACAGAATGTTCAGCAGAGTCAGATGGGGATGCTGGGCTGTCCAGTGGCCCAAAGGACATCTGTCTCTAGGCCAGGGGCCCATAAACTTCCTCTTGGAGGTTTATGTCGTAGGATGGGTGGTTCTGGTAACAGAGTCACCTTCCATCCCTCATGGTTTCTTGTTTCAGGACCTGAACTCTGTTGAGGCTAAGGACAGGAGAGGATTGAGAAGATTGCTCTCCAAGACAGTCTTCTATTGCCAGTCTTTTCCTAAGTTCTAGTGATGATGATGGAGAAAATAATACACAAATGCAAAATTTTCAAGTCACAATAATTTTTTTATTTTTAATTTTTTTCTCTTATTTTTTAAATTATGAAAGTATGATAACACATTTACAAGAGACTTGGAATATACAGAACAAAGTCACATATAGTTCTGCTATATATTACAATTATTGTTTTAAGTGGATAAATTAAGCTTTTCAGTTGGAGTTTCAATATCAAACTCTCAAAAATGAATAGAATGAACATACAGAAAAGTAGAAGGATATAGTAGTCAAGGCATGATAAATTAATGGAAGTAGTGGTTTATTCATACTGTGTTTGATATTTCATATTCCAGAAAGGTCTGGTTTCTGCACTTTATCACTGGGAACCCAGGAAGATTGTCAGTTGGTGATCGTGAATGAATAATTACTTCCCTATTATTTTTTTCTAACCTCCATAGTTCACTTTTCTTACAGAAAGCAAGCTTCTCTACCCCCTTTCTTACCCCCCCCCTCATAGTAGAAAGAAGAAATGAAAAGGTTTTACTTTTAAGTAGTTTTGTGTGTGTGTGCTTTAGTTAGAATGTGATCTGTAGTTAGACAAGCTGGTAACTCCCTTTTTATTTGATTATTTTAATGTAATCTGGAAAGGTAAACCTGGATTTCCTTTGGAGGGAAACCAGTCCATATCAAGTCGGATATAGGTTGAGTAGGTGGCTGGTGTTTCTATTTTGTTGTGCTGACTTTTGTTGTTGGCTTGTGTTTGTTTTTGTTGTGTTGAGAGTTTAGCCTGGCTTTTTGCAGAGTGGGCTTCCCTGGTGGATAGCTGAGTCTGTTACCCAGGACATTACTTAGGTTTTGGGATCTTTCAGAGGGTAGTTCTGAAGACTGGAGTAAGTACCTCAGAAAGGATTATCTTTCTTAGGTAAACAGGGATTTAGGTAGGAAAAGCTTATCTTGTTTTCCTTACCCACTGTTATCTCTTCTTTCCTTCTGTTTTGTTATAGTCTTGTTGCTGGTGATTTTATTTATTTTGTTTGTTTCTTGTCCTCACTGTGCAGCTTGCAGGATCCCAGTTCCCCAGAAAAGAAAAGAAAGTGAAGTCGCTCAGTCGTGTCCGACTCTTTGCGACCCCATGGACTGTAGCCTATCAGGCTTCTCCATTCATGGGACTTTCCAGGCAAGAATAGTGGAGTGGGTTGCCATTTCTTTCTGCAGAGGATCTTCCCGACCCAGGGATTGAACCCAGGTCTCCCGCACTGTGGGCAGCCGCTTTACCCTCTGAGCCAGCAGGGAAGCCAGGAGTCAAATCTGGGCCCTCAGCGATGAAAGCACGGCGTCCTAACCATTAGGCTGCCAGGGGGTTCCATTGCTGGTGGTTTTGTTTATTCCCTTGAAATTCTGTTTTGCTCCTGAGTTCTCAGTAAAAGATGATACTTCATTATATTTTCTCCCTGCTCTTTCTTTTGTGCCCTGGGATGGGAGGAACAGGTCCTTCAGTCTGTGACTGTATGCTCAACCAAGCCCTGAATTTACAGTCACTTTCTTCTTCCACCCAGATGAGTGCATCAGTTCAGTTCAGTTGCTCAGTTGTGTCCGACTCTTTGCGACCCCACAGACTGCAACATGCCAGGCTTCCTTGTCTATCACCAACTCCCGGTGCTTATGCAAAGTCATGTCCGTTGAGTCAGTGATGTCATTCAACCATCTCATCCTCTATTGTCCCTTTCTCCTCCCATCTTCGATTTTTCCCAGCTTCAGGGTCTTCTCCAATGAGTCAGTTCTTCACGTCAAGTGGCCAAAGTATTGGAGTTTCAGTTTTAGCATCAGTCCTTCCAATGAATATTCAGGACTGATTTCCTTTAGGATGGACTGGTTGGATTTCCTTGCAGTCCAAGGGACTCTCAAGCGTCTTCTCCAATACCACAGTTCAAAAACATTAATTCTGCAGTGCTCAGCTTTTTTTATAGTCCAACTCTCACATCCATGGGTGACTACTGGAAAAACCATAGCTTTGACTAGACGGACCTTTGTTGGCGTGGGTGAAAACAATACTTGTACTTCCTTAACTGTAAATACCGTCACGTGGTTTACTACTCTGGAGCAGACCTCTGGTCGTGGATTGGGAAACCAGAAAATATTTCTGCTTTAAAATGTTTGAGAGACTGTCTTTCCAGCGTGTTAGCGTTGAGTACTCCAAAACTGCTTACCCTGTGATGTGAAAGGTGGTAGGGATTGTAGAAACAGTGCTTGGGGAAATGTGTGTCTGCCCCCAAAGCCCCACACTTGTACCTATACTGCTGTGGTGAAGGACTATAAGGAGGATCCTTGAGATGGGGAAGGTTAAAGATGAAACGGAGATTCCTTAAGAAAAAGGCAATAATCGAGAAAGGGGAAAGATTAAAAGGCAGCAACAGGAAGCCATTTAGGATCTGGCTGTCATTCATGTCCTGTTTGATAGTGGGGTGAGGGAGAATATAAAAAAAAAAGACTAACATATAAAGGCACTTATTTCAAACTCCAAGTAGAGGGAGCTATGTGATGTGGTATTACAAACTGCTGTTACTGATTGCTCTGTAAATTTCAAGAATGATGGGCATTTATAAAAACTGCATCTGCAATTTTTTTTTTCAGTTTAGATGAAAATTACATGGATAATGGGTGAATTTAGGGAATAAACTGATACTGCACTGGAGAAGAAATGTGTTTTCTCAAAATATGATAGAGATTTTTTTTTCTTAAAATTTTTTAATTTTTTGGTGACTAAGGACCCAGTCCTGAATTACACCATGGATCACATAGTAGGAGCTTGGTTTTCCCCTCTAATGCATCTAAGGATTCACCATGTTTAGATATCATGGAATGGTTCTTTGTACATCAGGAGGATACATGATTTGGGGTATAGAGTTGTCAGTGTGTGTGTTTTTTTTTTTTTTTTTTCTTCCAACAAATAATTTTATTTATTTATTTATTTATTTATTTTTTAATTTTTATTATTTATTTATTTATTTTTCATTTATTTTTATTAGTTGGAGGCTAATTACTTTACATCATTGCAGTGGTTTTTGTCATACAGTGAAATGAATTAGCCATGGATTTACATGTATTCCCCATCCCGGTCCCCCCTCCCACCTCCCTCTCCACCCCATCCCTCTGGGTCTTCCCAGTGCACCAGGCCCGAGCACTTGTCTCATGTTCATCGCAGCACTGTTTATAATAGCCAGGACATGGAAGCAACCTAGATGCCCATCAGCAGACGAATGGATGAGGAAGCTGTGGTACATATACACCATGGAATATTACTCAGCCATTAAAAAGAATTCATTTGAATCAGTTCTAATGAGATGGATGAAACTGGAGCCCATTATACAGAGCAAAGTAAGCCAGAAAGATAAAGACCATTACAGTATACTAACACATATATATGGAATTTAGAAAGATGGTAACGATAACCCTATATGCAAAACAGAAAAAGAGACTCCGATGTATAGAACAGACTTGTGGACTCTGGGAGAAGGCGAGGGTGGGATGTTTCAAGAGAACAGCATCGAAACACGTATATTATCTAGGGTGAAACAGATCACCAGCCCAGGTTGGGTGCATGAGACAGTGTGTGTTTGTAAATGAATAATTTGCGCTTATGTTTCTGTTCTGTGCCCTCCTGGGATGCTGAACATTTGGTTTATGAAATGAAAACCATCAGGAGTGATTCCTTTTGCCTTATTCTTCCTTCTTTCCAAAAGTAGAAGAGGGACCAAGAAAGCTTTTAGGCCTTATATTATTTAAAACCTCTTAAAACTTTGAGACATCATCTGTTATTTTTTTACCCAGAATCCCTTGTTCCTTTTTAGTGGTCTCTGATCACTTCTTCTGCGTGTTTCAAGTATAGTGTTGGTTCATAAAGAAATGCATTAGGAATTTTGAGTCTGATTTGCTGAGGGCCTTGGGCTTCTCCTTGGCAGCAGCTTCCTCTGGGATCTCTTTATCACACTGTTTAGGATAAAGGTAACAGGATGTTTGCATCTTAGGAATCCATCTCTCTTTACTTTGTTTTTATTTCCTTGTCTCAATTCAAAGTTCTCACCACCTCAGTTCTTTTTTTTTAAGCTTCTTATTTTGTACTGTGGTATAGCCAATTTAGGGCTTCCCAAGTGGCGCTAGTGGTAAAGAACCCACCTGCCAATACAGGAGACATAAGAGATGGGAATTTGATCCCTGGGTTGAGAAGATCTCCTGGAGGAGGGAATGGCAACCCACACCAGTATTCTTGCCTGGAGAATCCCATGGACAGAGGAGCCTAGTGGGCTATAGTCCATGGGGGCTGCAGGGTTGCACACAGCTGAAGCGACCTAGCAGCAGCAGAGTAGCCAATTTAACAATGTTTTAATAGTTTCAGGTGAAGAGGGAAGGGACTTGGCCACACATTTACAAGTATCCATTCTCTCCCAAACCCCCTCCCATCCAGGCTGCCACATAACATTGAACAGAGTTCCGTGTTTAGTTCTTTTTAACATGGATGTGTATGTTCTTTGTCACATTAACAATTAGGATCAGCTGTGTGGCCGAGACCCCACCCTCACTGATGAGCTGCTGAATATCCTCACGGAGCTAACTCAACTCAGCAAGACCACCAACGCGAAGGTGGCGCTGCGAGCGCGCCAGGTAAGGACACGAGTTGGTTATCCGGAGGGAGGGATGGTCTTCACAGATTGGGCAGTCTGTTCATGAGCTCTTCCCCAGCACCTCCAAAGGTCATGCAATTTCCCACGTATGTCTCATTGCCTTCAGAACAAATGTTCTCATGTGCTGTATGTTTTTTTAAAGAGAATGGAAAAGATTAACCTCAAATTTCTTTAAAATAGGAGCCCACCCCCATCATAAAGTCCCGTTATCATTATAAGTCAGGTGGAGGAAAGGAAACTGAAGGAAGACAATAGGTGTAATATTTCTTACTTTACAAAGGGAGCTTAGAAGCAGGTGAAACTTTTAAGTCTATAGCAAAGCATCAAGTGTGGAAAGCAGAAAGATGATGAAATGAATCTTCGGTGCTGGCAATCAGCGCGACCCCAGAGCAGTCCAGTTAGTTTCACCCCGTAGTCTGCATTTCCACCCCAGAAGGTTTCAGCAGGGAAGCCAGGGTTTGGCACTCCCTTTGTGTTTGTGTTCCAGTGCGCGGGCATCGACAAGGAAGCAGCATTTGAAGTTGTTCAGTGACCTTCTGCTTTCTCTACAATTGCATCCATGTCACTGAATTACTCAAAGTTATTGAACCTCTGAGCGACCTGCTGAGGGTATTCAGGTCCCACCATGTCCCTCTTTGTCTGCGACACTGCTTTCGTTCTCTCTGCCCCTCACATGTGTGGGTGTCACATTCTGACTCCCTCTCTTCTACTGAGTACCTGGGGCTGTTGGAGCAGCTTTTCCTAGTCTGTCTCTCCCCTTTAGAGTTACAAGAGGCTAGCTCTGCAGCGTCCCCCTTCCCCACAGCTGCTCCGTGCCAGGCCTGATTCCCAATTAGCAGCTAGTTGTGCAGTCCCCAGCACCACTGATGGAGCTTGATGGAGGTGGTTTGCTCTCCCTTCCCTCCCCCGGCCCCCACTGGAGATCCCTCACCACGCAAATATGGCGAGAGTCACCTGAGACGCAGTACTTGGTGGCCCTGGCTTTCTGTTTCAGGGCCCGGAAGCACTGGTACTCAGCCTCTGTTTTATCTTTGATGCCTGCACACCCAGATTTATATTTATTGCTTTTGTATCAGAGCTGCTTAATGGGAGCCTAGAATGATCACTCCCTCAGGAACTTAACGCCTCTTATTTTGCTCTCACTCTAGGTTCTTATTGCTTCCCATTTGCCATCATATGAGCTTCGCCACAACCAAGTTGAGTCTATCTTCCTATCAGCCATTGACATGTACGGACATCAGTTTTGCATTGAGAACCTGCAGGTATACATACATTAGAGCCCTTTTCTACCCCTCTACACTGCTGTCCCGTTCATTCCCAAGCAGAGTTTAATTAAGTAATCAGTTCAGTTAATTACAATTTTCTGTGTAATAAAGTTTCATCTGTTGACTTTATAAGATGATTTATACTTTTTTTTTTCCCCATAAAAATGCTGTTAGAATTGTGATTTAGCTTAAGAGTTTTACAGGCTGGCCTTGATGGAAGTGTCCTATTGAGGTCTTCACCTCTTGTGCTTTTATCTAGAAAGTGTTCTAGGACACAATGAAGTGGTAGTACTGGTTGATTTCTGATATTTGAAATCAGATGTATAAATAAGTTAAACAGGGAAAAGCTACTTAAATAATCATGTAATTTTATTTTAATGCTTACTGTTAGGCTTTGTACAAAGCCAGTTTTATAAAAGAATATTGGCTAATTTTGCTGCTAATTCAAAGAACCTTGACTGTTGTTTTTTAAACATCATTTCCTCAGGAATGATTTTGTATTTTTCTACTTGGAAATAATATTATCATACCTAGCCAAGGGAATCTTCTGGCTTTCTCTCATATTTCCTTCTGGGGAAACTAAGGAAGTGGGGACAGAGTGGGGGGGGTAGATATTTTTGTTTATTTGGTTCATAGTTGAAATAGAGAGTTCAAATCTATGGTTTATCATAGTGGAGTACTGAGACAATATATTAAATGTTAAGTTCAGCTATAAGTCAGAAAGGATAATAATAGCCATAAACATTTAATAGCATATAATTAATGCACTGTTAATGCATGTCTAAGAATTTTACATATACTAACTGTCTAACACGACAGCTCTTGAGAATAGGTATTATTATTTTCCCCATTTTGTATCTGAGGAAGCCAAGGCAGAGAGAAGGTAAGTTCATGCAAAGAGAAGATAAGTTTACAAGTTTGCAGACAAAATGCTTAAAGTTTCACTAATGCTTCTAACGCTAAATATTGTCCATTGGAATTGTTCTCTTCTGGATGTAATGTTTGAAGCTTGTCTTTGTACCTTCCAGAAACTCATCTTGTCGGAAACGTCAATTTTTGATGTCCTACCAAACTTCTTCTATCACAGCAACCAGGTCGTGAGGATGGCAGCCCTGGAGGTGGGTTCTTACAGTAACATGACATCACCTTTTTCTCAGCTTCTGGCCGACTCCTTTTGCCTGCTTGGCTATTGTTGTCAGTCCTTCTTCTTTGGCCGTAACATTGGTTCTCAAGAGTAGAGTCTTTTCCTCTGAAACAAATGCTGGACGTCGGTCTTGCTCTAAGTCAAGGGTGTCAACTGATCACCAGGTTCTGGGTTCCAGTCACAGCTACCAGCATTTTTCATTCTACTTTCCAGGTACTTGAATCCTTTCATTTCATAGTGATGAGGATGCCCTGTAACACAATAAGTAAAAAAATATGTGGCTGATCAGAACAGTACCATTTTGTGATTTGGGCCAAGTAAAATGGATTCTAGTCATATTCTGAATTGTCAAGCAGTTCTTATGAACTTATGAACTATTTCAGCATGAGAAGGAAAGTTTAATGAGCTGTGCTTTAGGTGCTTTATTTTTCTCATTTAATCCTCCAAATACTTCATGAAGTAGAAGAAAGTAAGACTGAGGTTAAGTGACTTGTCTATATTCACATGGATAATAAGTGGAAGAGTTTGCATTTGAACCCAGCTCATTCTGACTCACAGACTTTGCTGTGTCCACTGTAGCATAACTGTCTCATTAAGCACAAAAATTGCAGCCCCCAAATACTGCTGTAAAGTTTGCCAAGTAGATGTTTTTTGGAGGTAAGGAAAAGGAGTGTCTTAGATGATTTTTATGTGATGTGACACTACAGTCTTCTGCATGCTCCTTTGGGTTACTTTTTATTTGTATTCTGTGGGGAGACTGTCATGAATCCCACTCAGTAAATACCAAAATTGGAAAACATCTAAGTGTTCTACAATGCTTTTATTGCTATTTAATGCAAAGTTTCCTTGTATACCTCACATGCTGATAGGATTCCACGTTCCATTGTGTGTGCACGGCAAATTGGCTGTGAAGTTCATGAGGTTGAACTGACAGGTTTTCCTGAGAAACAGCCTGTTGCTGTTTCTTTGAGTCAAGTTAGTGTATTTGAGATATTATATGTCAAATTATGCCTTCAGATTTTGCCTAGGATTTGGGCAATATGAACAATGTAAAATTGATTTGGGCCAGTGGGGAAACAGAAGAAGTATACAAGATAGTGAATGAGTGAGACTGTACTTCAGTTGTTTCTGTTTTGTATCTTCATGCCTCAGGTGGCCCAGAATCAGCACCTCTCATTTTTCTCCCTGTTTGCTTTCATCTTCTTTTTACAAAAAAATTATTTATTTGGCTGCATCGGGTCTTCATTGTGGCACGTGGGATCCTCGTTGTGGTGCTTGGGCTCCTCTCCAGGTGCAGCGTGCAGGCTCCAGAGGACGTGGACTCTGTAATTGTGGCACATGGGATTAGTTGCCCTGGGGGCATGTGGGATATTCCTGGACCAGGGATCGAACCCGTGTCCCCTGCATTAGAAAGTGGATTCTTAAATCTCTAGACCATCAGGGAAATCCCTGATTTTATCTTCTGTTGAAATCATCATGTGTAATGAATTAACAGTCATGGTTCTGTATGCTCTTCTGCTAATGATCAAAGTTTCTCTCGAGTTTAGGTTAGTGTAAAGGGCTTTCAGCACACCTAGAGGTGTCCAGCGGAGGCAGGCTGGTTTCCTTTCCATTTATAGTCATGGGTATAGTTGTAAGACTCTAACCTTATTGATTGAAGCAAGGTATGTATGTATGTATGTATGTATTCAGCACTGGGACTTCTGTCAGCAGAGACCACCTTCTTCTGCACCACACGTCTCTTTTCAGGACTCTCTTCCCTGGGCTAACTGCTTCTGAGTTTCTGTTTTTCAAGTGTATTTACTGAGGATTATTTTTTAACCAGGTGTATGTTCGAAGGGCTTATATAGCCTATGAACTTAATAGCGTACAACACCGGCAGCTGAAGGACAGCACCTGCGTGGTGGAATTCCAGTTCATGCTGCCCACATCACATCCAAACAGGTGAGTCTGAGCTGGTGCGTGCACCTGAGCCAACCAGAGCGCTATCCAGAGAGTGTGGGGGTGGGGAGTGGGTCATGTGTGTGACCATTCTCTGTGGTGATTTTTTTAGCTAGAAATGTAGAGCAGACAATGAATACATTTAAACCATGAGAGAAGAGCCTCTTGGCAACTATTTCTTTTTTTTTACTTTTTGATCTTTGACCTGGAGAGAGGAGGCAGTATGGTCTAATTGAGATACAAGGTTAAGATTATTCCATTCATTTTTACTTGTGTTCTGTCACGGAGGAGGCATAGTTCTTTCTTCTTTGAAGTTAGAAAGAATTTACTGGCGTTTTACTTTCTGGAGTTTTGCCAGAAAATCACATTTATAGCAGTTTAAGTCAACAGGATGTAAAAATATTTTGGGTGGAATGCCTTTTTTCCCTTTATGTTTGCTGTGGTTTGAACCTGAACCAGTTTCATGATCTCTCCAAAAACACACATGTAAATTTAGCAGTTGAAATTTAGTTTTTAAAAATCACACTTCAGAAAGCAAACTTAAATTCAAGTAAGTTACTCACATAAGCTGTGTTAATTCCATTAATTTTACCTTCTTACACCCTTAAAAAAATGTACATATGGAAATTTGTTTCCAGTTCTAACAATAATACCAAAATATTGCTTTGGTTTTAAGATGGAAATACTTTATCTAATAATCTCATTTCTTTTTCAAGTATTCCCAGGCAGTGAAAAACCTAGGAATTTCATCCCCACCTCTAGTCATCTCCCTTCCGTACTTTCATTCTCCTCAGTAATACCACAGGAAATATAAATAACCACAGCCAATCTTAAGCTGCACCCCCTCCATTTCTTCTTTATGGCCTTTGGTTCTTCACTCTGTATTACAAAGTACCGTGTCTTTGGGGATCCTTAGTTACAGACAACAGAAATGGTTCTGTTCTGAATTGCTACTTCACCCAAAGCAATAGCAGCTGTTCTGGAGACAAAGAGGTGTGCACGGCCACTCGCGGCCACTGAATGCCAGTGTTGATCCAGCGGAGGTCAGCAGCCGGGCAGCAGCGTCTTCAAAAAAAGTGCTTGTCTTTGTCTCAGGAGGTCCTTTTCACTCCTCTCCCTTGAAAATACCTTATGGCTGGCAGAGAAAAGCATATATCCTTGATTTAGCAAGCATCTCTCGGTACCTTTTCGCCTCCATGGATTTCAGAGTCTCATTTTCCAGAAACGAATGGCTGTCCTTCAGTGAGCGGGCAAGGTACTCATGGCAGACATGGGCTCAGCGCGCGGGCTTCTTTCTTCTCCTGCATTCCTTGAATAATTGTGGAGCACTGCACGCTATACTTCCCACCCTCTGTAATTCTCAGGACCTTGGCTTTTTCTTCCTGCTTTGGGCAGTGATCTGTAGTCGGGCTGCAGCGCTGCTTCTGGTCTTCGTCCCTCCTCATTGCTCCCCTTGTCTTTCGGAATTGCTCTCCCTGTCCTGCTTTCTTTATTTGAGGATCTGTGTCCAGTTTGGTAAGGGAAAGTCAGTTGGAAAATTGAGAGGAATGCCTCTGAACTGTTAAGAAATCTTATTCACCTTTCTTTCTCAGGGGTGTGACTCTGATATGATTATTCTTGATATGGTTTCAAGACGTGTATACCTGTCCCTCCCAACATCCAAGGGGTACACATTCTTCTGGAGACCTGAACAGAATCTCGCTGTAGTCTTGCTGTCTTTCTAAAGTCTTCCTTGGTTGTGTGTATACAGAATTATAAACTTAAACAACAGAAGCCATATTGTAACTGCTTCAATAAAGACTTAAAAAAATAGAAGGAAAGATAAAATAATCTTTGTGAAAACCAGAGAAAATGCCCAGATTGCTTTAATGCTGTTTTAGATCTTAGGTCCTTTTGTTAGTTTAGTAATATAAAATTTATTGTTGTTTAGTGGCTAAGTCGTGTCCAACCCTTTTGTGACCCCATGGACTGTAGCCCACCAGGCCCCTCTGTCTATGGGATTTCCCAGGCACGAATACTGGAGTGGGTGGCCATTTCCTTCTCCAGGGCATATTCCCGACCCAGGGATTGAACCTGTGTCTCCTGCATTGCCAGGTGGGATTCTTTACTACTGAGCCACCAGGGAAGCCCATAAAATGAATTATCAGCTTTTAATTACAGAATACTGTATTCAATTTTTAGAACATAGTTTATTCAGTTATTATGAATTTGCTTGAATTTAGTTTTGTAAGATCTTTCCTTTTCTTACAAATGTTTCTGTTAACAATGTGCAGTTATGACTTTATCCTGACATCAGTTGGTATACTGTAATTCAGTTCTAACATTTACCACCTGGTGTTAAATGCCACACATTAAGGGTTCAGGTCTTCACAAAACTGCCCCTACTTCAGAATGTGGCCACAAGTAGGTTTCCCCGGCTGCCCAGAGTTCTGACCAACTGGCTATTATTTCGGGGGTACCCATGACTCCTTCGAGTTCAGTAATTCACTAGAACAACTTATAGAACTCAGCAAAGTACTGGACATATAATCACAGTTTTATTATAAAAGATACAGATCCAGACCAACTCAATGAAGAGATACATAGAGTGAGGGCTGAGTGGGTCCTAAACACAGAGTTTTCCCCTTCTTTCCCTGTATAATCCGGTTACGTAGTCCTCCCAGCATATCAATTTGTTCACCAGCCAAGAAGTTCCATTGAACCTCAGGGTCCAGCGTTTCTATCAGTATTTCATTACGATGGCATCATTGATTGAATCATTGGCCACTTGATTAAACTCACCCTCCAGCTCCTGTCCACTCCCCAGAGGTCCAAGGTGACCCTCTAGTCATATGGTTGTTTTTTCTAGTGAGCAGACCCTGTCCTGAGTTATCTCATCTCTTCACATAAACTCAGGTGTGATCCATGGAACTCATGAATAATGAAGGCACTTCTATTACTTCAGAAATTCCAAGGATTTAGAGCCTGTCCCCCAGGAGCTGGGGACAAAGGCCAAGTTCTTTATTATTTCATAGACCTACCACCCTTATGAAAGAAATCTAGAGTATCTTAGTTTTAGCTATTTTTGAGCCAAGTTCCAACTTTTTTCCCTAACCTCAGGACTTTTGTTATTTTCTAGTTGTCAACAGCAGGCAATAAGCATTATTATTTCTAATTCTACAGAAGTCAATTACAAGAAACTGTCTACCAGTGTTCATTCCACTGTCAGTTCAGTAAAACTCAAGGACACGATTATGTCCACTAACCTAGATTAGTGATTCTCAGAATTAGCAGCTAAGTATTTTAAAAAATAAACCTACTGGGTTCCTGGCTCTCGAGATTCTGATTCATTTCAAACCACAGTCCAGGGCATCGCTTTTTGAAAAAGCTTCTCTGATAATTCTGTTGAACACCTGCAGTTGAGAATCAGTACTACTAGACTTTCCCTGGTGGCTCAGCTGGTAAAGAATCAGCCTGCAATGCGGGAGACCTGGGTTCGATCCCTGGGTTTGGAAGATTCCCTGGAGAAGGGAACGGCTACCCACTCCAGTATTCTGGCCTGGAGAATTCCATGGACTGTATAGTCCATGGGGTTGCAAAGAGTCGGACACGACTGAGCAACTTTGACTTTCACTTTCACCACTAGACCAGCACTGTCCAATAGAAATATATTAGACATATATTGCAAGCCATATATATAATTTTAAATTTTCTATTGGGCATATCTAATAAGAAACAGATAAAATAATTACTTTTTTTTTTTTTTTTGCTGCACCACACTGCATGGCTTGTGGGATCTTAGTTCCCCGACCAGAGATTGAACCTGGGCCCTCAGCAGTGAGAGAGCAGAGTACTAACCACTGGACTGCCAGGAAATGCTCAGATAAAGTTACTTTAACATTTTATTTAACCCATTGTATCCAAAGTTTCATTTTAATATGTAATAAAAAGTTATTAACCAGATATTTTCCATTCTTCTTACTAACTCTTTGGAATTTAGAGTGTATTCTCTGCTTCTAGCACGTCTCAGTACTGACTAGCCATATTTCCAGCACTTCCTAGCCACATAGTCAACTCAACTGATCAAGAATTAATTAGGACAATCACACTGGGTGCTCTTTGTTTTATGTTAGTGGTAGTGCCCCAGAAGAATTTTTTTTTACAAACTTTTATGTTTCTTATTATGTAAATGGTTACAGGAACCATTCACTTCTGACACTGTAGTTGTACTACAGTATTTTATACATGCTTTAAAAATTATTCATTGAGAACAGAGAACAGGCATATGAATATACACATTTTACATATCTAATGCTAAATAGGATTTTATACTTTCTGAATATTATGTTTGGGAGGTAACAAACCAAAAATTCTTGAGGAAAAAAATACATACATTCTTAAACCAGTTTTTTGCATTTTCTTTCCTGATACTTGGTCTTCCCATTCCTAGCCAGGCATTCCTTTGAAATAGAGCAAAACCTATCCAGCAAGTCCTTGGGAGTATCTTTCTACGCTGTATTTTCAAAGCAAGACTACAGTCTCTTGTTGTGTACGGGGGCATCTTGTGGAATCCTGTTCCTGTAATTTGTTTTTGACTAGTGATTTAGCCCCCGTGGGTTGGGATGAAACATGGCTCTCTGTCTTGCAGAGACAAGACAACAGCAGGGTATTTTTTCAGGAAAATGCCCTAGAGGCCACTTGGATTGAAGACCATGTCCTGTTTGTACATGTTTTGATTTTTTAGAGAAGTAGGCAAAACACAAGTAGCCGCCCTGGCAGATAAGTGGAGCGGGCTCTGAGAAGAGAGAAGACACCCCCCCTCTTTTTTTTTTTTTTCTTAGCACACTTGGGCAATTAGCATGTAGCGGACATGTTTGGTGCCTTTTTGCTTAAATTTATTGAGGTACTTTGTATTGCTTGATGTTTTATTTTTAAAAAAATTTATTGTGGAAAGAACATTTAACATGAGATCTACCCTCTTAAATTTTTAAGTATATAGTATATTATTGACTTTAGGTACAGTG